GAGTTCTTCGCCGGCTTCACCACGCCGGCAACGCCCACGCACTCAAAGACCGACAGCACCTCTCCGCACGTTCTACTCAACACCACTCGTGTCGAAAGCACGGCCCGGCTGAGCTCGCTTCTCCGCCTCTCTCACGACGAGGAGCTCATCGACGCGCACGGCGACGGCGGCGAGCCGCTCGCGATACCGTCACGATGGAGAACCTTCTCGGCGACCGCTTGGTGCCGGACCGGTGCCTCACGACTGGAGGACTGGAGGCGCGCTTGCACCTTGCATGTGACGACGGCGAGCCTCGGTGGCTTCGCAGAGGCCGAGAGAGACACGAGGCATGGCGCCGCCGCGATGCGATTGGAGATGGATGCGGTTGAGAAGAACCGCACTGGAGCTTGCGACCTTCCTCGTGGCCACCGCGCGATTACCCTTAAGTGGGTGTACAAGTCGAAGAGGGATGAAGTCGGGCGCCATCGCTCAAACACAAGGCTCGCTTGGTGGCACGAGGTTTCGTCGCGGCAGGAGGGGTCGACTTCGACGATGCCTTTGCTCCGTGGCACGGATGGAGTCCGTCGCGACTCCTTCGCGCTTAGCTGCCCGGAGGGTCGGCGCGTTCATCATATGGACGCCAAGTCGGCGTTCCTTAACGGCGACTTGAAGGAGGAGGTCTCGTGCACCACCCGCCGGGATTTGCGATCCACGGCAAGGAGGGCAAGGTATGCGCGCGTTCATCATATGGACGCCAAGTCGGCGCTCCTTAACGGCGACTTGAAGGAGGAGGTCTCATGCACCACCACCACGGATTTGCGATCCACGGCAAGGAGGGCAGAGTACTCCGCTGCGCAAGGCCCTCTATGGCTTGCGGGCGACGCAGGGCGTGGAATGCCAAGTTGGATTCCACGCTAAAGGGATGGGCTTGAGCAAAGCCCGCATGAGGCGACCATCTACCGACGGGCAATGGAGGAAATGCCTGGCCGGTGGGTGTCTCACGTCGACGACTTGGTGATCACCGGCACCAAGGATGTGGAGGTGGCGGCATTCAAGGAAGAGATGAAGGCCACCTTCCGGATGAGTGACACAGGGCCTCTCTCCTTCTACCTAGGAATCGAGGTGCACCAGATGACTCGGGATCACGCTTGACAGACCGCCCTCGCCAAGCGCGTGTCGTTGAGCTAGGCTGGGCTCACCGATCGCAACCCAGCTCTCACTCCGATGGAGGAGAGGTCAAGTCGAGCCGCGACAAAGACGACGGAGGAGGTGGACGCCACGCAGTGATCTGGCGTCTTGTGGGGAGCCTTCGCTACCTCGCCCACACACGGCCGGACTTGGCATTCTCCGTCGGCTCGTTAGTCGGTTCATGCAATGACCGACGACGGAGCACCAAAGCAGTGAAGAAGAGATCATCCGCTACGTTATGGGGACTCTCGACCATGACCTCTACTACCCGAGGTGCCTGGGCGGCACACTTCGTCATGCATGACAATGACCACGCCGGCGACATCGATACCGGCAAGAAGAGCACGAAGCGGGATCCTCTTCTTCCTCGGCAAGTGCCTCGTTAGTGGGCGGTCGGTCAAAGCGGTGGTGGTGGCCCTATTCAACAAGCGAGGCCGAGTACATAGCGGCCTCCACCGCTTCGACTTCAGCGCTTTGGCTCGCTCGACTGCTTGGTGATCTCCTCGGCAGAGACACTAGAGCGGTGGAGCTCAGGGTGGACAGCAAGTCCGCTCTGGCCCTGGCAAAGAACCCCGTGTTCCACGAACGCAGCAAGCACATCCGGGTGAGGTACCACTTCATCCGAGGCTGTTTGGAGGAAGGGAGCATCAAGGCGAGCTACATCAACACCAAGGACCAGCTTGCGGACCTGCTCACCAAGCCCCTTGGGAGGATCAAGTTCCTTGAGCTCTGCTCCAGGACCGGGATGGTTCAACTCTCCCACAAGGTGACGCACAAGACTTAGGAGGAGAATGATGGATAACTCTCATGTGTGGCTGGTCTTTGTGGGGCTGTGCTGCTCACATGGTCCTTGTGGCTGTTTTTCTGTTTTTAGGACTACATCTTAGACTAGAGGACAACATCTTAGAGGACAGCATCTTAGACTAGAGGACAACATCTTAGCTAGGACAGCATATTAGCATCTTAGACTAGCATCTTGGCATATGCTTGGCTGGCTAGCAGCCTATAAATATGTAACCCCAACCCCTCAGGTTGGTATGGCATTTGTGTGAGTTTGTGTGAGAAATAGACAAGAAAATTGCCCCAACTCCTAGTGTCATCCTCTCTCGATGAGAGTAAGAATTCTCCTACTATCAAGAGTGAGAATTCAGCGACTAACACGACGCACGGAGGAGGAGCGTGGGGGAGAAGGAGGAGCCCGGCGGCACGAAGGAGCATCGGGAGGTTTGCTGCTGTGCAGGAGGAAGGTCGTGAGGAAGAAGTGGAGAGGGGCTATGGGGAAAAGTTGGGGCCACACCGTGATGGGGAGAAGCCACTTTCAAGTTGTATTCGAGAATCTCTTCAAGCGCGCAGTCATGGGAAGCGCCTAGGAATCATAGCGTTCGGAGGCCTCGTCCACTTTTTTTTCACCAGAAGCGGCTGCAGAAGCTGCCCCAAACAGGGCCTATGTGTAGTGTATTGATGGGATCATAGCTCCATTTATCGAGCTTATTTACTTGCGTGATTCTTTTTCCTAGTCAATAAATCGCAAGGAGCACAAAATGTGCAGTGAAAGTTAACCTACCGTAGGATCTGTTTCACAAACAAAAAGAAAAAAAAAAAAACCTACTGTAGGATCTTATCTGACATAAGCCACCTCCAGAACACTGCTGTCTAATTTCCCGCACATTGTATGCTCTTCTAAATCATGTGTTTAGGACTGGGGGCACAGATTGTTAAACGTAACAAACAAACATATTAGAAGATAGTGGATTGAACATCGTTTCTAGAAATTTAGTTGATTTTTTAGGTGTACTTCTCCAAACAGGTCTGTTTGATTACTTTCTGTGCATATTGTGATTCTCAGCAGAGGAAGTCAAGGATTTGGGAGTCAATGTGGCGCTATCCATGCTAAAGTTTTACAAACGTAAGTTCATTTGCGGTTTGCAGTCTGAGTTTGTTTTCTGCTTCATTCCTGGGATTTGAGAATGAGCAATTAACATCACAATAATTGTGAACCTTGATTTTAGGAACAATCTCATTTCTACATAGATTGCTCATCAGCCCTGCTTTGTGTGAACAGGAGAAATATCACCTTTACTGCCTTCAAGCTGCCGATATGTACCAACTTGCAGTGAGTACTCTATGCAGGCGTACAAACGATATGGTGTCGTAAAGGGTACAATCTTGACTGCTTGGCGCCTTTGCCGTTGTAATCCTCTTGGTATGCATTTTTTCTGTGTGTGCTTAGTTATCTCTGTTGTTTGACATTTTCATATATGTATAGATCTGTATCACATCACATTTGTAGGATTTAGACCTCTCTGATGTACATGCAGGCGGATATGGGTATGATCCTCCAAGATGGTTTGGTGAGGAAGATGTACCTCTGCAATAGTAATGCCTGGTAATTGAAAGTATAGGCAGTGTAATTCTTCAGATCCAGACTTGCAGCAGGTTTTTTGTAATTTACTGAAACTAACCCAGAAACATAAGGATAAAATTTTGAAATATCTATGCAGCTCTGTGAAGGAGCATGCACGTGTTCTTTTTGCCTATGGACTATGGTCACTTTTATATATAATGTCCTTAATCTAGTTGTCATGCATTTCCTCCAAGGTTATCATATGAGCCAAATTCATTTGTTACCTAAAATTTAACATCCAGAATTACACCTTGGTTGCTTGTGCATTCTAGTCTGAGAACCCAACTGTCTTTTGCTGCTTCTAAACTCTGTAAAGAATCAGCCAGTGAAACAGATAGATGCATGGTTCTACCTTATTAGACCTGCATTTGGATTTAGTCAGGAAATCTTATTAGATGCATAAACTACAAATAATCTTCTTATGGGCTCAGATGAAGGATGAGCATTGACATATTCTTGAACATGAGGACAGTTGAAAAGTCAACGGAAAATTCCGTACATTGTTGGAACAACTATAGTTAACGAATTCAAGGGTGACTGTATTCTTGAAGAGGAAGCCTGTACCAAGTTATGATTTTTCTTTGCCTCCGGGGCATGTACTCGTCGTTCATTTAAATACCTTCCTTAGGTCAGCTCATCAGAACTGCAGTCCACCATATCCTTGTATATGGTGCTTATTTCTTCGTTTCTTCCTGGGGTACATCTGTGTTGTCCCCTTCCAATATTTTGATGGTATATGCTGTGTGAATTTGGATACTTCGGCACATCCATACATATATCCCAGTGGACCTATCGTTGGTCAAGTGGGCCATATTATTTTTTTGTAGTATTCAGCATTGTTTATATCGATTGTTTTGTTATCCATGTTGACATTTTCTTTACCCCTAATTTTTTTCCTCAGGTGCTAGCCACTGTTACAAACAATCTGTGGTAGTTTCAAAGGCTATCTGTCGATTATAGTGTCAAGGAACATTGTCGGATTTCTGTGATCTCTATGCGCACGATGGTTGCAATGAAAGGTAATTGTGCAGTTTAGATACTTGGTGAACGCTAAGCTACTTTGTGAACAGTCTATCAGTATAGTTGAGGATTCATATTCTAGGAATCCTATTGGTGATTGTACAGTTTAGTTAAAAAGATACTATCTATGATCTTGAACAAAACTGCTCACAAAAAGTGTTGGTACATGGCTTTAACATTATTATCATGCTAAATTTATTATTTGGTACATGTTTTTATTCAGATTTATCATGTATGCATTCAGGCAAGAGTTGCAAATTTCTATAGTAGCTTAGCCATCAATCATTCAAAACCCAAAGAAGCATTCATCATGATTCATATATAAGCTACAAGGTTATTTTTCCTTTTTCCATCAAGTTATCTCTGAAACTGCTTCTCAGCTGTATGGTTTGTAAAAGAATAAGCTTGATCACTGGTCATTTCCCAAGTCAGATCTATCATCCTCTGCCGTCCACGTGGAGATGGCAGAGAGCACTCGCCCTTTCCATCCCTTGAGGAGCCACCCGTGATCCTCATTGATAACGAAGTACTTGCGGTATTCCTTATTCACCTTGTCTTTGCTCGCCTGAACAATGTCCAGATCCAATGGCAGTTGCCTCAGCCCTGCTTGCTCGCACCGCACGTGCCACTGCTTATAGTTGTGAGGCCGCTCCACCCTATCCACGCCCTCACAGGCAATGATGTTCATGGCGCATCGTGCTAATTCCTGCTCTACCAGCAGCCTGTTCTTGTTTTCCTGGGGCACAGTGGTGTCTATCAGGTCAAACAGCGCAGCAAAATTGTTGAGCGCCTCGCGGAACCTTGACACAAAGAAAGCACCGCTGTATGATCCATTGAGGATGGCGTGGATGAACACTTTTGGCCTCATCTTCTTGATGTTTTTGAGCACTGTGTCTCTGGGGTTTGGCCTGTCGATGATGACACTCTCATCCATCAAGGTCCTGAAATGGAAATGGGAGATGACGACGAGCACCTCTTCAGGATCAATGTCCAGGTCCTCAGCACGGACAGCTTCTGATTTCGCTGCAATAGCATGGAACTTGAATGGGACCCTAAACTGGCGAGCACAGTCACTGAGGCGGCGCCCTGTCTCCTCAATGAGCTGGCCCGGATGGAACCCTGGCAGTGGGTTGTCAATGCCGGTGAGCCTTACCTCGGGCGGGCCACCCTCCCTGTGTGACAGCATACATAGCAAGTCTGGCCAATGGAATCCAGGGCCTAAGCCATAGTGGACAACGTGCAGCTTCTTCCTCCCTGCAACAGCCTTGTAGGTGGTCTTGTTGGTAAGGGGGAATCTCAGCGGGAGAATGGAGCATGCGGCCATGTACAACTTGTAGACCTTGAGGATGCCGGCAGCAGATGCGCTCTTTGCCGCAAGCGACTGGTACATCTGGCTCCCAATGCCCATCAGCCGTGCCTCCAGTCCCTGGGCGAAGCAGTGCGCAAGCCGCTGCGTCCCATCCCCTGTCGGTGACGAGTGATGCCTGATCCGCTGCAGCAGGTCGGCTGCGCCCTGCTGGTCGTTGGTGGCCACAGTCTCTGCGCATCGGATGAGCAAGGCGTGCAGGTCCACTGCCGTATGGCTCGCGCCAGCGCCACGCCTTCCTCGTGGCTTCTCCAACTCCATGGGGCCAATAATTAGCTCCTGCTGCACGTCGGCAGCATGGCTTGCAGCGTCGTTAAGCATCAACCGGTCCAGCATCTTGCGTGCTGCGGCTTCCTCCTCTGAGTCAGCTTGCGTCTGCGCCACCTTCTGCTTGCTGCTCCTGCCCATGCTGACGTCTGCATCATCGTCCTTGCCTTGAAGCCTCTTCTTCCAGCCCCTACCACGAGCCAATGTCGTCTCGCTGTCCTTGAGTGGGAGCAACTTGTTGGCCTCCTCCATGCCTTTGAAGAATGCCATGCTGATCACGTCCATGCAACAGTCGCTGCTCTTCGCTGCTGGCAACAATCTGTTGGGCTCCGCCGCCGCCGTCTCTTGCGTGCTGTTCATCAACAAGGAGGATGCATCCTGACCGACGACGTGTTGTGTGCTGTCCATGTTGTCACCAGGCAGCATTTTGGAGGCAATCATGTCGCAATACGAGTAGTACTCAGGTGTGGCCACTACTGACGACAACTGCAGCTGGGTGTTTTGGACAGAGTTGCACGGCCATGTGGTGAGGCCGTCAGAGGTGCCATGCTCGGTGGAGAGGATCTGGTTAAAGGGCTGCTCGGCGGTGAGGACTGCAGCAGGGTGGTTGGGGTATTGGTACAAAAAGCTGTCGATGGTGTCCTCCTCCAATAGCATGTGTGAGATGTAGGAGAGATCGTCCTTGCCATTGTCGACGTGGGGCGCCGGGAGCTGGTCGAGGAAGTAGGTGGAGGGGGAAGGTGGCGCAGGCTCTGTGAAGTTCAGCTGGGGGCGCTTCTCCGACAACTCCAGCTCCGGGGGGAACTCCATGGCTAGTGCAGTGTTGCTGCTGGCTACTCCTAGTACCGATATATAGATAGTTTCTTCATGACGAGCTCATCCTGGATCAGCGGTATTATAATGCAGGTGTGGTGAGGTACGGTAATGATGACGCACTCATGACTCACTTTCTTGTCATTACAGTCAGATGCTCGATGCCTCCAACATCAGGCAGCCATGCATAACCTCGTATATGGTGCTTGTTTGTTGGCTTTTTCCTGTTGTAACTTGCTGCCTTGTCTGTGTTCTATTTTGGTGGTACATACTCCTACCTATTGCTGGGTAGATTTGAACCTTAGTGTCGTTTGATGACCTGTCACTTGTTGTCGCCGGGTGCGTAGCTATATACACCCAGAGTCTTCCTCTTTTGATTGCATTAACGTTAAGGCTGCTATACCATGCTCATGCTAATAAGGTGCTATATAAAATGGAAGGATATTATCAATGTCCATGAATATAATGCGAAATCTTAGATGGAACTTGTGTATATTATGTATATGACAACCTTTTCTTCTTTTAATTTAGTACTCAGGCTGATGCGCTAGCTTTCTGTATCTGTTCCTCTTTTTGTTCTTCATTTTTCAGGTGTATATGAGCAACTGTGCTGGTCTATCAGTATACTTGAGGATTCAATTTCCAGGAATCCTTTTGGTCCAGCACAAGGATTTCGCAGTCTGCTAGTTTCATTGAAGTGACTCTTTCCATGGTCTACAACAAAAGAAGGGAATGCTATTTTAAATATTTCATGTCATGACATTAAAACAATGGCTCCTCGTCACGAAGAATTTCTCTGAAATTGCTTCCAGTTCCAGGCATATATAGTGTGTAAAATAACATGCATTAGCAGCTGTTGCCAAAAGCCTGCCAATAAATCAGGAAGTCCAATACATACGAAGTTATAATAGTCTACACTAGACGTTTTTATTCAAAAAGGAAAAAAAACTGAGGATCATTTTATTCACGGAAGCAGTGGCCATTCCACCGACGAGAAGCTACTGATGGATTACTACACACTGTAGTTGATGTTCCTTGACATAACATGAGATGAGATGATGTTCAGTAGTCACGGTCTTCCCTTGCGTATAGCAGAGATTCCAAGCGGTACTTTTGAGGCAACGAACCGGTGTTTTTCTCTCATAATAAATCAGCATCAGCACAAATCAAATTTTAGCGAAAACGAACAGGGCCATAGGAGTGGCTATAAAACTTGTGCTCAAACTTTATTAAATTTAATTTATAGAAAATATTAGCCATATTTGTATCTCTACTATAAAATATATTTAATGAATTATCTAATGATACTAATTATGTTAATATTTTTAAATATATATTTAAAAATATTGGACTTACCGAGAAACGTATTATAGCACGGATGGAGTATGCTGAAGGAAAGGAAGGCTTCACTGTACTTGCTGAACTTTTTAGGTGCCAAGCTTGCCAAATATATATATATAATATAGTTTGTTATTACTGCTATGTTTCTTAACTAATGAAAGCAAATTAATTTTCCGGTGTGGAAATTAAGCATCTCCTATATGTATGGTCGAGAGGATCCCCTGACACCGTACCGTCAAAGGAACTGTGCTTAACTCTGATTCCTCCTATTATGGTCTAGTGAGGCCCTGTCTGGGGCGCTCCTAAAATTCTTATCACATCGAATGTTTAGATACATGTATGGAGTATTAAATATAGATTAATTACGAAACTAATTACACAACTTGTGACTAATTTGCAAGACGAATCTTTTAAGCCTAATTAGTCCATGATTTGACAACGTGGTGCTATAGTAAACATGTGCTAATGACAGATTAATTAGGCTTAAAAAATTGTCTCGTAAATTAGCCTCCATCTATGTAATTGGTTTTGTAATTAATCTATATTTAATGCTCTTTATTAGTATCTAAACATTCGATGTGACATGAATTTTAGGAACGACTAAAGAACCAAACACCCCCTGAATCTAATCTATCAATGAATACCTAATATAAGAAGAAGAACACCCCACAATATATACTCCGAGGGGCCGGCCATTGGGACTCCCTTTTTTGATTCGTGTGTTAGTTTGGATGGATTTTCACAATTACATAATCATGTACCCTTTTCCTCAATATGCTTCAGTAACCTTGTAGCCCAAAGCCGACCACATATCAAGTAAAATCTTATGGTAAATTACTTGTTTGTTCTTTGTGATTCCACTTTATTCTTTCACCGGTCTCTGATCTGTCGAAGCGCATACAAAATGCAGGTAGTTAGGGCATGTTCGGTTTGCAATCAAAATTTGGCATGTCAAAGACTTAGTAAGAAAAAGTTGGATAAAAAAATTACCCTTTCAAAGTATATATCAAGTGAAAAAGGTGGAAGAACGGTTGAAAGAATTTTAGTTATTTATATAATTTCTTTTAAAGTAAGAACCCTCTAGCCAACGAATTTGGGCCATACTAGTTCTTTGAAGTTTGGAATATGATCAACCTGTGTTGTAGAGACATAATCAAACCCAAATTGACCTAAATCCTGCAAGAAATCATATCACAATCTATTATCTAAAACTGATAATAACAATGAAAAAGAAAAACTATTTCTTGTAAACTGAAAGCAGCGTTCCCTTATAATTTTTTCCTGTTTTTTTGTCGTGAACACACCACAACTTGACTAGGAAATGACGTTTGTACCCATGCTATATATGGGCCTTATCCACACGTTGCCCTCAGCGACCGCCTCCTGCTCTAGCTGGTGGTGCTCTGCCCGTCCGCCGTCCAAAGTCCGTCGTCGGCCAGGCGTGGCGTCTTTCGCGGACTCGCCGACCTGGAGATGCCGACCGCCGCGGCTACGCGCTACCTGTACCCCCTCCCCCGACAGGCTTCGGCAGTCCCATTCGCAGCACTCCATGTCACTGTATCTTCTCGAAACCTAGAAATCTCATGTTCGCTTCTTTGATTTTTTGGTCCCTAGTTTCATTCGGTGCTTCGTTTCAGAAGAGGACAAAGATTCCGGCGTGGCTAATCCTCTGTGCTGCTCACGACGAAAGTCAGTATAGTGGCAGCAGATTTGGAAATCTCAGAAATGGTTGTCTCATGGTTCTTTAAGTAGGGTACTTGGTATTTCCCTATCTTGAGATTAAATTAGTCAATAGTATCTGATTTTACACATTCCCTGTTGTTCCAATCCAGACCAACACTGTAGTTCATGCAATCATGCCATGCCTGTAGTTTTATTTACATGCATGAGATTGTGTTTAACGGATTTTTAGGACCCTGTTTGGGTGCTGTCTATTTTGGGATCCTAGCTCCATTTATTCAGCCTGTTATCTTGTGGGATCATTTCTACATAGATTGCACATCAGCCCTGCTTTGTGTGAACAGGAGAAATATCTCCTTTACTGCCTTCAAGCTGTCGATATGTACCAACTTGCAGTGAGTACTCTATGCAGGCGTACAAACAATATGGTGTTGTAAAGGGTACAATCTTGACTGCTTGGCGCCTTTGCCGTTGTAATCCTCTTGGTATGCAGTTTTTCTGTGCGCTTAGTTATTTCTGTGTGTTCAACATTTTCATATCCGTATAGATCTGTATCACATCACATCACATTTCTGAGACTTAGCTCTATCTGATGTACATGCAAGCGGATATGGGTATGATCCTCCAAGATAGTTTGGTGAGGAAGACGTACCTCTGCAATAGTAATGCCTGGTAATTGCAAGTATAGGCACTGTAACTGTTCAGATTCAGACCTGCAGTAGATTTTATGCAAATCACTGAAACTAAACCCAGAAACATAAGGATAAAATTCTGCAATATCTATGCAAGTCTGTCAAGGAGCATATACATGTTCTTTTTGCCTATGGTCACTTTATGTATAATGTCATTATCTGATTGTCGTGCAATTCCACCAAAGTGATTGTATGATTGAAATTCGTTTGTTACCTACAATTTAACATCAAGAATTTTACCATGTTCGCTTGTGTACGCTAGTCTGAGGACCCAACTATCTTTTGCTGCTTCTAAACACCATAAAGAATCGGCCCGTGAAACACAGGGGCAGCCGCAGTATATGGACATGGGTGTACAGATGTACACCCAGTAATTTTTGGAATAAACAAGCTGCTAATATGTGTATATAGTCCATGTACATACTCCCAGTTGAACTAGAATGTGTATTTTGAGCCCAATTACTTGAAATAGCCTAGCCAATCCGAAACTCCTATTCTCCAATGATGAGCCAGCCTGTTGTTAGTTGTTAATCTGTGTGATGGCCAGGAGGCATCAGCTCGCTGCCTTGTTTAGCTTTGGTCACTGAGCAGAAAAGGAGGCGGTGTTGGACTGAGGATTCGAGGACAACGAGGAGGCGGCATCCACCTTGTTCGGCGGCCTATCAGGGGAGCAGACGTCAGATGATGGAATCCATGTGGTGTCCAGGCACGGATGCGAGCGCTGGAATGATGGCCAACACTGGCCTGGGAAAGCAAGTTACCATGGAAGGCTATGCCGGTGGCCAACCGGAAGCCTGGAGGAGGTGCTGATCTCGTCTTGTCAAGACTTCATTCCTCGAGCATTAGTGAAACCCATACCATCTCTTGAGAAGGGAGGTGTGCATTCGCATCTAATTATCATGACAACAAAATAGTCATGTCTTGCAAATGGTCATCTCATTAAAAAGATGAACATCAGTAAATTCTTGAAGACGATGGACAGTTTTGAAGACGATGAACAGTTTTATGATGTTGATGGGCTATCGTATGATCAAGGAGAGAAGAGTGCAATATTAAGCTATGATGTCAATGAGCAAGCTGTTACAAGACGAGGACATATTGCATTAGCCATGGCTATGACAACCTGAGAACATGAGTTCCTAAAAAGAGCGTAATATTGTGTAACAATTGACAATCACCTAAATGTGAAAAAGTAGATAATGCTATATATGATTGTTTCTATGACCTCTTATTTCTCCTTATCGATCGTACGAAGGCGTAACGAATTATTTAACATATCTGAACACCCAATTTTAAAACCCTGCGTCTTCCACTGATGAAACAGATAGATGCATGGTTAAAACTTGTAAGATTTGCATTTGGATTTAGTTAGGAAATCTTATTAGATGATGTTATGTGGCTGGAGGATTGAGAGGGAGAGGCGAGGGGAGCGACGGCGGCTAACGCGCTACAGTACCACAGGTACTGTTCATGGCTAGGGCTGCGAGGGTGAGAGAGAGCCGGCCGCGGGGCGTTTGCCCACGGCCGGGCAAGAGGGAAGGGTTTCCTTCTTAATTCTTGCTTGATAAGATCGATACATCTCCTCTCCTTATATGGAGAGGTTTACTTGACTCCCAAGTAAGGCTTACTTGACCCTTAAGTAAGCGACCCTTATCTCTAATTAACCATAACACTAATGAGCTATACAACCAACCCAGGCTCAATAGGCCCCCGACGTACTCTAACAGATGCATAGACTACAAAAAATTCTTCTTGTGGGCTCAGCTGAAGGATGAGCATTGACATATTCTTGAACATGAGGACAGTGAAAAATTCAATGCATTGTAGGAGAAATTGTAGTTAGGGAGTTCAAGGGTGACTGTATTCTTGCAGTGGAAATCTGTACCAGCCTACCAGGTTATAATATTTCTTTGCCTCAGGGGCATTGCAGTACATTACACCTGTCCTCCATTTAATTATCTTACTTAGGTCAGCTCATCTGAACAGGCTACTATACCCTTGTATATAGTGCTTATTTCTTTGTTTCTTCCTGGGGTATACGCAGTGTAGATTTGGATGCTTTGTCACATCCATTCATATATCCTAATGGACCTATCGTATTTGTTCACTTTTCATATTGACTATTTGGTGTCCATATTGACATTTTCTTTATCCAGTCCTCATTCCTTTCTTTTCAGGTGCTGGCCACTGTCACAAACAAGGCAGAACTGTCTGTGGTAGTTCCAAGGGAAAGCCTTTCTGTCGACTATAGTGTCAAGGAACATGATTGGATTTCTGAGGTTTCTATGCACAAGATGGTTAAGATAAATGGTAATTGATTTTCTTCTATAAACATGCCCTAAAACAATAAACATGCCCTAAAACAGAGCATCTTCTATGAACCAGTAAGCTACTCAGTGACTGGTCTATCAGTATAGTTGAGGATTCATATTCTAGGAATCCTGTTGGTTTAATAGAGGATTGTACAGTTTAGTTTAGTTAAAAACGACACTATCTATCATCTGGAACAAAACTGCTCACAAAAAAATCTTGGTGCATGACTTTAACATGATCATCATGCTAAAATTTATAACCTAGTACAATTTATTATCATTTCAGATTTATCATATCATGCATTCATATAAGAGCTGAAAATTTCTGTAGTGTTTTTGCTGCCATATCTCTAACAGCGCTGATCACTCAAAACCCAAAGAAGTTTCACCATCACTCATAGATACAAGCAGCAAAATTGTTTTTCTGCCACTTGTCATCTCCGAAGTTGCTTGTCAGCTATAAATTTGTAAAAGAACAAACTCACTGATCATTTCCCCAAGCCAGATGTATCATCATCTGCTGTCCATGTGGAGAAGGCAGATATCACTCTCCCTTTCCATCCCGTGAGGAGCCACTCCTGATCCTCATTGATCACGATGTGTTTGCGGTATTCCTTCTTCACCTTGTCTTTGTACGTCTGAACAATGTCCGGATTCAATGGCAGCTGCCTCAGCCCTGCTCGTTCGCTCCTCACCTGCCACTGCTTGTAGTTGTGAGGCCGCGACACCCTGTCCACACCCTCACACGCGATGACGTTCATGGCGCACGCTGCTAACCACTCCTCAACCAGCAGCCTGTTCTGGTTTTCCTGCAGCATAATGGTGTCCATCGTGTCAAACACTGCAGCAAAGTGGTTGAGCGCCTCACGGAACCTTGGAACAAAGAAATCCCCACTGTATGATCCATTGGCGATATCATGGATGAACACTTTCGGCCTCATCTTGGTGGTGTTGTTGAGCACGTACTGTGTCTCTGGGGTTTGGCCTGTCTAGAATGGCACTCTCATCCATCAAGTATTTGAAACAGAAATGGGAGACGACGACAAGCACCTCATCGGGACCAATGTCCAGGTCGTCGGCACAGACAGCCTCTAATTTTGCTGCGATACCATGGAACTTGAATGGGACCCTAAACTGACGAGCACAGTCACTGAGGCGGCGCCCTGTCTCCTCAATGAGTTGGCCTGGATGGAACCCAGGCAGCGGATTGTCAATACTGGTGAGCCTTACCTCTGGGGGGCCACCCTCCCTGCTTGAGAGCATACGGAGTAAGTCCGGCAAATGGAAACCATGGCCCAAACCATAGTGGACAATGTGCAGCTTCTTCCTCCCTGCGATGGCTTTCTACGTGATCTTGTTTGACAAGAGGTAGCTCACCGGGAGAATAGAGCATGCGGCCATGTACATCTGGTAGACCCTGAGGGTGCTGGTAGCGGCTCCGCACTTCGCTAGAAGTGACTTGTACATCTGGTTCCCAGTGCCCAACAACCGTGCCTCCAGCCCCTGGGTGAAGCAGTGGGCCAGCCGCTGCGTCCCATCCCCTGTTGGTGATGAGTGATGCCTGATCCGCTGCAACAGGTCGACTGCGCCTTGCAGGTCGTTGGTGGCCACAGCTTCTGCGCACCGAATGAGCAAGGCATGCAGGTCCACAGTGTGCCTTGCACCAGCACGCCTTGCTCGTGGCTTCTCCAGCTCCATGAAGCTAAGTAGCTCCTGCTGCATGCTGGCATGGCTGGGTTCGTTGTTAATCATCAACCGATCCAGCATCTCGCATGCTGCGGCTTCCTTCTCTGAGTCAGGTTGTGACTGCGCCGCCTTCTGCTTGCTGCTCCTGCCCACGCCAACGTCCACGTCATCGTTGACTTAAAGCCTCTTCTTCCGGCCCCTACCATGATCCAATGTCTTTCTATCGTTTTCGGAGGGTAAGAGCTTGTTAGCCTCCTCCATGCCTTTGAAGAATGCCATGCTGATCATGTCCATGCTGCTGCTCTTAGTTGGTAACAATCTGTGGGGTTCCACCGCAGTTTCCACATGCATGGTGTTCATAAAAAAGGCAGAGGATGCATCCTGATATACATGTGTTCTGTTCACATTGTCGCTGGGTAGCATTTCGGAGGCTATCATGTCACAATAGTAGTAGTACTTGGGTGTTGCCCCCGACGACTGCAACGGAGAGGGTTGGGCAGAGCTGCGTGACCATGTGGTGAGGGCATCAGAGGTGGCATTGGCGGAGAGGATCTGGGCAAAGGGCTGCTCGGCATTGAGGAACATAGGGTGGTTGGGGGATTGGTGGTACAAGTTGTCAACAATGTCGTCCTCCATGAGCATGTGCGAGATGTAGGAGAGATCATCCGTGGCATTGTTGACGTGGGGTGTCAGGGGCAGGTCAAGGTAGGTGGAGGGGGAGGGTGGCGCTGGTTCTGTGAAGTCCTGCTGGGTCTGCTTCTCTGATGATAACAGCTCTGGGGGAATCCCCATGGCCAGTTAAGTGTTTCTGGCTACTGCTACTGATAGATGTATCTTCCTTGCTCTTGTGTTAGTGGCAATATAACGCAAGTAAGGGGAAGAGGTGACGCACTCATGTTTGGCATTAGAGTCAGGTGCTCGGTGGTTCCAACTCGTATGAGGTGCTTGTTTGTTGGCTTTGTCCTGTTGTAACTTCCTGGGTTATCTGTGATTTGTGTCCCTTTCAGTACTTTGGTAGTACATACCATACTGATAGATTTGACCATTTCGTCGTTTGATGAACCCGTCCAGTTTTGTTGCTTGCTCCGTTTGTCCTTTGTCATTGGGTGCCTAAGTATCTACCCAAAGAAACCTTCACCTTAATATTAAGGGTATGCCATGCTTTGAAAGGATCTTATGAATGCCAATGAATGAAAAAATCTAAGATGAAGCTCCCCAATCAGATAATAGAAACACTTAAAATCCTATATGCATGTGAAAACCCTTTTCTTCTTTTGGTAGCATCCAGCATAGTTCATATTGATATTTAGTACTACTAGTTCAGGTGGGGAATACCTCCCCCGCTAGACATTAAAAAAAGTTAGTACTGAAAGGTGTGTTTAATTTATGTATCCTTCCCTTTTTGGTTTTCATTTTCAGGTGCATCCATGCCGGTGTGTTAATTCCATTTATACACTAATACATGTCCTTTTCTTCCCTTTTGGTTTTTTAGATCCAATTTTTTAGAAAAAAACATTTTTCAGGTGGATATGAGCCATTGTGCTGGTCTATCAGTCCAGTTGAGGGTTCCTATTCGGGGAATAATGTTGGTTGAACACAAGGCCGGATTGCGAAGTCCAGTTTTGTTGCAGTGACACTGTTTTGGTCTTAGAACAAAAGTACAAGTACGCACAACACTGACGGTGCACGATCTCTATCGTTATTATGCTAAATACTCCCTCCATTCCAAATTATAAGACGTTTTGGCTTTTCTAGATGCATTGTTTTTTACTTTGTATGTAGACATAGTATATATCTAAGTGCATAGCAAAAACTATGTATCTAGAAAAGCTAAATCGACTTATAATTTGGAATGAATGGAGTATAAAATTTGGTGCGTGTTATTTTTAAATGTTTCATGTCATGACATTATAGTAAAGAAAGGCTCACCACCAGTCACCATACCAAAGAAATTTTCTCTGAAATTGCTTCGCAGCTATATTCCCATATTCATAGAGTTATAATACTTTACAATTACAATTTACAGTGCAAGATTCTTATATCTTCATAATTGAAAACTGAGGAAATTTATTATTTTGGAAGAAGTAGCTGTACCACTGAGGCACCTAACGAGAATTGAAGCCCGTGCCAAGTTAGACCTACTATCATGCATGGTTATAGCTTGTAACACTTGCATCAGAACTGCAGGCCAGCATGGCACCATATCCTTGTATATGGTGCTTATTTCTTTGTTTCTTCTTGGGGGTGTCATATCTGTTCTTGTCCCCGTCCAATATTTTTCATGGTATATGCTGTGTAGATTGAATGCTTTGGCACATTCATTCTTAGATCCCAATGGACCTATCACTGGTCTAGCCTTTTCGTTTTTCATATTGATTTTTCGTTGTCCACATTGGTGTTTTGTTTATCCATTCCCCATTTCCTTTCTTTTCAGGTTCTGGCCACTGTCACAAACAAGGCACAACTGCCTGTGGTAGTTTCAAGGGAAAGCCTTCCTGTCGACTATAGTGTCAAGGAACATGATTGGATTTCTGAGATTTCTATGCTCAAGATGGTTAAGATAATGGTAACTGATTTCCTTCTATATAAACATGCCCCAAAATAGAGCATCAACCACTAAGCTACTTGTTGACCGGTCTATCAGTATAGTTGAGTATTCATCTTCAAGGAATCCTGTTGGTTTAACACGAGGACTGTACAGTTTAGTTAAAAAAGATACAATCTATGACCTGGAACAAAACTGCTCACAAAAAAAATCTTGATGCATGGCTTAACTTGATCATCATGCTAAATCTATAATTTAGTACAGTTTATTATCATATTCAGATTTATCATATCATGCATTCATATAAGAGCTGAAGAAAATCTATAGTAGCTTTGCCGTCATGTCCATAAGACTGCTGATCACTCAAAACCCAAAGAAGTTTCACCATGACTCATAGATACAAGCAGCAAAATTGTTTTTCTGCCACTTGTCATCTCTGAATTTGCTTCCCAGCTATAAATTTGTAAAATAATGAGCTCACTGATCATTCACCCAAGCCAGATCTATCATCATCTGCCGTCCACGTGGAGAACGCAGAGAGCACTCGCCCTTTCCATCCCGTGAGGAGCCACTCGTGATCCTCATTGATCACGATGTATTTGCGGTATTCCTTCTTCACCTTGTCTTTGCACATCTGAACCATATCCGGATCCAATGGCAGCTGCCTCAGCCCTGCTCGTTCGTTCCTCACCTGCCACTACTTGTAGTTGTGAGGCCGTGACACCCGGTCCATACCCTCACACGCGACGATGTTCATGGCGCTCGTTGCTAACCACTGCTCAGCCAGCAGCCTGTTCTGGTTTTCCTGCAGCATAATGGTGTCCATCGCATCGAACACTGAAGCAAAGTTGTTGAGCGCCTCACGGAACCTTGACACAAAGAAAGCCCCCCTGTATGATCCATTGACGATGACATGGATGAACACTTTTGGCCTCATCTTGGTGATGTTTTTGAGAACCATGTCTCTGGGGTTTGGCCTGTCGACAATGACACTCTCATCCATCAAGTTTTTGAAACAGAAATGGGAGATGACAACAAGCACCTCATCGGGATCAATGTCCAGGTCCTCGGCACAGACAGCCTCTAATTTTGAGGCGATGGCACGGAAATTGAATGGGACCCTAAACTGACGAGCAGAGTCACTGAGGCGGCGCCCTGTCTCCTCAATGATCTGGCCCGGATGGAACCCAGGCAGCGGATTATCAATGCCTGTGAGCCTTACCTCTGGGGGGCCACCCTCCCTGCTTGAGAGCATATGGAGTAGGTCCGGCAAATGGAAGCCATGGCCCAAACCGTAGTGGACAATATGCAGCAGCTTCTTCCCTGCGACGGCGTTGTAGGCGATCTTGTTTGACAAGTGGGAGGTCACCGGAAAAATGGAGCATGTGGCCATGTAGATCTGGTAGACCTTGAGGGTGCTGGTAGTGGCTCTGCACTTCGCTAGAAGCGACTTGTACATCTGGTTCCCCGTGCCCACCAACCGCGCCTGCAGCCCCTGGGCGAAGCAGTGAGCTAGCCGCTGCATCCCATCCCCTGTCGGTGACGAGTGATGTCTGATCCGCTGCAGCAGTTCGACTGCAACTTGCTGGTCGTTGGTGGACACGTCTTCTGCGCACTGGATGAGCAAGGCATGCAGGTCCACCGTGTGGCTTACACCAGTACCACGCCTTCCCCGTGCCCCTGGCTTCTCCAGCTCCATGGAGCTAAGTAGCTCCTGCTGCATGCCGGCATGGCTGGTTTCATCGTTAAGCATCAACCGGTCCAGCATCTCGCATGCTGCGGCTTCCTCCTCTGAGTCAGGTTGCGACTGCACCGCCTTCTGCTTGCTGCTTCTGCCTATGCAAACATCCACATCATCTTTGTCTTGAAGCCTCTTCTTCTGGCCCCAATCACGATCCAATGTCTCGATGTCGTTTTTGGAGGGTAAGAGCTTGGTAGCCTCCTCCATGCCTTGGAAGAACGCCATGCTGATCACGTCCATGCTGCTGCTGCCGCAGCTCTTAGTTGGCAAAAATCTATTGGGTTCCACCACTTCCTCGTGCATACGGCCATTCATCAACAAGGTGGATGCATCCTGACGGACGTGTGCTGTCCACATTGTCGCCAGGCAGCATTTCAGAGTCTATCATGTCACAATAGGAGTAGTACTTGGGTGTCGCAATCGACGGCTGCAATAGAGAGGGTTGGACAGAGCTGCACGGCCATGGTGTGAGGGCATCAGAGTTGGCATTGGTGGAGAGGATCTGGGCAAAGGGCTGTTCGGCACTGAGGAGCTTGTGGTTGGGGTATTGGTGGTACAAGTTGTCAACAACGTCGTCCTCCATGAGCATGCGCGAGATATAGGAGAGATCATCCTTGGCATTGTCGACGCGGGGTGTCGGGGGCAGGTCAAGGTTGGTGGAGGGGGAGGGTGGCGCTGGCTCTGTGAAGTCCATCTGGGGCTGCTTCTCCAATGACAAGAGCTCCGGGGGATAGATGTATCTTCCTTGCTCTTGTGTCTGTGACAATATAATGCACGTAAGGGGAAGAAGTGATGCACTCATGTTTGACACTATTACGGTCAGGTGCTCGGTGGTTCCAACACCAGGCACACATGCATGACCTTGTATATGGTGCTTGTTTGTTGGGAAAAACATTGGATGCGCGATGGGCTCATGACCTGGCCATGCGCCCCTGTGCTCGATCTGCGACGCGTGGCGGCGAAACAAATCAACGCTCTTGCGGACGCCTGGCTGCCTCGCTCGCGGACGCCTGGCTGGCTGGCTCTGCTCTCGTCGCTCGCGTGGTGCTGTGCTCTCGTATCGGCCAGGCACTCGGCGTGGTGTTGCGCTCTCGTCGCTTGTTGATGTTTTTTCGCCGCCACACATCACAGATCGAGCGCAGGGGCGCATGGCCGGGTCGATGAGCCCATAGCGCATCCAAATTTTTTTTCCCGTTTGTTGGCTTTGTCCTGTTGTAACTTCGTGGGTTATCTGTTATTTGTGTCCCTTTCAGTACTTTGGCAGTTTGGCATTAGAGTCAGGTGCTCGGTGACTCCAACATGCATGACCTCGTATGTGGTGCTTGTTTGTTGGCTTTGTCCTGTTGTCACAACTTCGTGGGTTATCTGTGATTTGTGACCCTTTCAGTACTTTGGCAGTACCACCATACTAATGCTTCTTTGTTGGCTTTGTCCTGTATGGGTTATCTATTTTTGGGTTATCTGTGATTTGTGTCCCTTTCAGTGCTTTTGGTAGTACAGACCATA